CGCGTCGATGTTATCATCATTATTATTATTAATGACGTAATAATTTGTTTTTTTTTTTACCACTTTTTATTTTTCATTTATCGTTATTATTATTTCAATATCGAAATCGAGTAATTCAGGTATTTAAAAAAAACAATAATAAAATGTAGGTAACAAAAAAGGGCAAGGGAAGGAATCCAATTCGTACTACAAAGTGCGCGAGCGAGTTCAATTACGTTACGTACATTATTAATAATTTCATCACGCGCACGCGCACTCACGCACACACAAAACAAGTCCCTCTCGCTATCGGTGTGAAAAAAAAAAATTAATAATAATAATAATAATAATAATAATATTTTTGCAATCGGTGAGTAGTGAATGGTATTTCCTTTCGGCCAAGTTTCTTTCAGGTACAAAGTTCACCCGCGATTACTTAATCCGTAATAATTTATTTATTTATTAATAATGTATTTACTTATTGCGCGTGTTTTTTTTTTTTTTTTGTCGGAAAAACAATTTTCCCTTCCGTTAATTCGTCGATAAATTTAATTTAATTTAATTATTGGGGGGGAGAGGGGTATCGAGGTAATATAAGGGGCACAGAACGTTGATAAGAATTAATAATAATAATAATTGTTTCTCCTGTGATAGGAGGAGGGGGACGGAGGGAGGAGTGTTGCATTTTTTTTCGAAAATTTTCGACAACGAATGTTCTAGAATATTTTTTTTTTTTAACTGACCGGTTCCAAAAAGAATTGAATGACAAGAGAACATTTGTTTATTTTGTTTGTTTGTTTGTTTGTTTGTTTGTTTTTAATAAAAACGGATAAAAACTAGAGTTGTTGTTGTTGTTGTTGTTCGTTTTTGTTCGTTTCTCCGTTGTTGTCGCTATTATTATTATTATTATTATAAAAGTCGTTCGCGGGTCACGATTTTATTTTATTTTATTTAAATTTTTATAATTAATCGAAAGAAGGTGTAAAAAAAAAAAAAAAATTAGAGTAAAGTTTTTTTTTTTTTTTTTTTTTTTTTTTATAAAAAAAAAAAATTTTTAGCCACGCCCATCTCCTGGAGTGTGTGTGTGTGTGTGTGCATGTGTGTGCGTGCGTGCGTGTGCGTGTGTATGTTGTGAAAAAAATGCAAAAAAATTTTTTTCGTTTCGGTAAATTAGGCGGCACCGAAATGAATATTATAATACAATATTTCTCAACGGTTAAAACTTTTTAATGAATTGATTTTATTATTATTATCGTCGTCGTCGCCGTCATCATCATCATCATCATCATCATCATCATCATCATCATTATTATTATTATTATTATTATTATTATTATTAAATTTCGTCGTGTGGGTTCTCGTATTTGTTATTTTTTTTTTTCTCTGTCTTGTGAAAGGAAGGCGTTCGTTGAGAACGGTAAAGGTCGAAAATTCGTTTGCGTTTGTTACTGTTGTTGTTGTTGTTGTTGTTACACTTTCCGTTGAGCTTTTTCTTGAATAGGTCACGTGATTTTGTATAATTTGCCTCGCCGAACGTTTGAGAAAAAATAATAATGATGATGATGATGATGATGACGATGGTTACGTACTTGTTTCCACGTTTTTCCGTCTCGTTTTCTGGTTGTTTTCTGGTTGTATATATTCGATTTCGTTTGTCGAAAGAAAAGGTGATGATGATGATGATGATGATGAAACCGATATTGATTATTAATTAGTTTCTCGATTATTTTTGTTTAAACAATTATAAATGAATCCTTGAAAATTTAAAAAAAAAAAAAAAAGATTTTCTGTTGGTTGTTGTTGTCGGTGTTGGCGTCCTTGTTTTTTTTTTTCTTTTTCTGTTGGTTGTTGTTGTTATTGTTATTGTTTTTGTTTAATTTAAAGCCTGGTTATGAAATTGCGAAATTATTTCGACGTGTCAGCAGAAACGTTTTAGAAAAAAAAAAAAAAAACAATTCGCTTAGAAAAGTTTCTATTTTTTTATTTTTACCGTTGCATGTTTTTTTTTTTTTTCTTTTGTTTTTCACGCATTAGGTAAGCGGGGGGGGGGTTGAAGGTAAAAAATGTGTATTTTCGTCGTATTTATCGATTTATTATTATTATTATCGTTACCTTTTTCGGAAAACGTGGAAAGCTTGTTTTGAGGTATAATACAACAGCGTAAAACAACAATCCATCCGACCCTCGCAAGTGTTATCGGTCAAACCAAAAAAAAAAAAAAATTTTACTTTTCTTTCGTGCTTTAATCGTGAACTCATTTTCTTCTGCTATTTCCACGACGGATTTGGAAAGTAATTAGAGAGAAAAGCTTTCACGCAATTTTTTTTTCCTTTTTATCGCTTGGCTTTTTTTTTTTTCGAAAATGAATATGTATTCGCGTACGTGGCGGAAGAGGAAAAGAAAATGAGGTGGGGGTGGTGGTGGTAGCAGCGGTAAATCGCGCTTGCGTGTGTGCTTTTCCGTTCCTTAACCTTTTTTTCAAAGGTAGTATTTATTTTTCAAACGTCACACATTATTATTATCATCATCATTATTATTTTTCGCATCGTTCCATAGTCGTATCGTGTTCAATTTTTCTCTCTCTCTCTCTCTCTCTCTTTCCATTTACGTGATTACAAAGTTAAAAAATTTTGCGGTCAAACGGAAAAGGAAAGAGAGTCGAATGAAGAAAAGAGAAAAAGGGGGGAGGGGAGTGGTTGTAGAGATCGTTTGTCGTTGTCTTCGTCGTCGTCGTTTGTGAATATTTCCGGTATGCAAACTTGAAATGGAAACAAACGCATACAACCTCACGTATGAAAATGATTTATTATGATAAAGGTCAAAGGTCATTATGGGTTCTTCGTGTAATTTTTTTTTTCTATAGGCTGACCCGGTTGTGGTTGACGTTCCTCATCCCCCTCTCCCTCCCTCCCTTGCAACATTGAGAAAAAAATTGCGCACGACCGTCGGAAAATCGGAAAATTGAACTCTGACGTCATCGTTCGAAATTTTTTCCTACGTAATTCGATGACGTTTTTCACGACGAAATTAAAATCCTGTTTGTTTGTTGTGTCGTTTCGGCTGTTGTGTGTGTGTGTGTGTGTGATTGCACATTTGAAATTCATGAATGTGGTTGTTTCTTTATCAGACGTCGAAAAAATGTTTTTTTGTTTGTTGTTTGTTCGTTTACACGATTTGCGATTTCGACGTTTTTTTTTTTTTTTTTTTTTTTTTTTGGACGCCCGAATTTGAACTTTTGAATTTTTATTATTATTATTATTCCCGAATATGGTCCGACATTTTATTTATTTATTTAATGTTTTTTCCTGTTTACCGTTACGTTCCCTTAAAAAGAAAAAAATTTTTTTTTGTTTGTCGTAAAAGTACCTGGTTGTTTTTCTTTACGTGAACCTAATAATAAAAATCTATCGTTCCCGTAGGAACAAATCGTGTCTTTTACCTTTTTGTCCATACCTGTGGATGATGATGGAAGGAAAGGGAAAATCTTTCGAATTTTTATTAAAACAACAAAAAATTGCCCAACAACAACAACAACAACCACAAAATCTAGGTTCCGGTTTTTAATTTATGTGAACTCGGCCCCAGCCGTGAATTTATTTTTGGAAAAAAAAAAAAGACGAAGCGAGCGTTGGGCGTTCGTCGTCGTGACATGCTCGAATTTAAAAAAAAAAAAAAAAAAAAAAAATTTAAAACAAACGGTCGTCTTTCTTTTGATCGAACCTGAAAAATTTGAAAATGTGTAGAAAAGGGGAGGGAGATCAGGACTAAGAGGAGGGGGAAAGAGAACGAGTCGAAAGTGAAATTTAAAAAAGGAAAAAAAAAAAAAAAATTTTTAAATCGTATTAACAGGATAAAACCTGAATTGATTTTTGTTTGTTTGTTTTGTTCGTTTTTTTTTTTTTTTCTTCATTTCATTCGACGCAACTCACGTCGAATTGCGGAACGGAAAAATAATAATAATAATAATAATAATAATAATAATTGAGTTTCAGGATTTTGTTACAACCCCAACGCTTTGCGAAATCCATGTGACTCACGTTGAAAAAACGTCTAAAGGAAAAAAGTTTAAATTTTATGCTTGTTGTTGTTGTTGTACAAACAACAACAACAACAACATTAGAAATTCTATCGGTCAAAATTAAACTTTTTAATGTTTAGCGTAAAAAAATTTTTTTTTGTTTGTTGAGATTTGAAATCCTCTATGACATTATTATTATTATTATTGTTCTATTTAGGTTTATATGCTTTTGGGTTTCGCGCGCGTTTTCTTTTCCCTTCCCTCCCCCGTCCCTCCCCCTCGGGTGGAAAACCACGTTACATCTCGTTATCGAAACGTTTTCGATTTTGTATCGTGGCAGCAGCAAAAAAAAAAAAAAAAAAAGAGTTATGGAGAGAATGATTGGTTGATGTTTCACGATACGATGATGAATTACACTAATTAATTTTAGAGGATCCGTCAAACGATATTAATTATCATTATTATTATTATTATTATTATTATTATTATTATTATTTTAATTTTTTTTTTGTTTCTCCTGCCACGTTTTTTTTTTTTTATTTGCGAGGAGTTAATTGTTGATTTTTTTTGGTTGTTGTTTTTATTTTGTTTTCTTATTTAAAATGATTTATTTATACCAATGATTACTTTTTTTTTTATTTCGGTTTGTTTGTTTGTTCGTTTGTTCTCTCGCTCGCTCTTTCGTTTGTTCTTGTTGTTTGTATCCGATGATGAATTATTATTTGAAACGAGCCGGGTGGTTTTTTTTACATAATTTAGGCTCGTTCGTGAAAAGGACGAAATATAGGTAGCGTTGTAGGTATTTTTTGTTTACGAAATGTAAACCTTTCCCGCGTTAACATGTGTGTTTGGGGGGCCGTGAATTGAAAAAGATCCTCGGTGAAAAATTAATGTGAATTATTAATATTAGCTTTATTTATTTTCTCTGAATTGGCATGTTTTTCCGCTGGGAAAGGATAATAGTAATAATAATAATAATAATAATAATAATGATATCAATTCAATGGAACAACGTGATTTTTATTTTTTGTGCTAAAAATCATACAAACATGGTGGATTGAAAATTTCAAAGTTAGCAAAAAAAAAAAAAAAAAAAAAAACGATTGTTGTGAGTGTATGTACGACTTTGCCCCCGATACATGCTCGCCATTATTTATTTATTTATTTATTTTTTGGTTGTTGCCATGGTTAAGTAGTAAAAAAAAAACTCTGTGTTTCGCTTTCGAACTTGTTATATCGATCACGCGTTATTGTATTATTATTATTATTATTATTTTTCATTTTAGGCGGAGGTCGTCGGTGTCGTGTTTTATATTCCTACACGCCGCAAAACGAAGACGAACTCCTCTTACAGGTGGACGACGAAATCGATTTCCTTTCCGAAGTCGAAGACGGTTGGTGGAAGGGAAAATTAGGAAACAAAATCGGAGTTTTCCCATCGAATTTTGTCGAATTGAACAACGATGAGTCGTCGTGTCACAGCGAGGGAGAAGTTTCGGCTCCTTTATCATCTCCGGATTCGACGACAGTTTTCGACGATGCTCCCGTCTTGCCTCCGAAACCCATAAAAGAAACGTGTAAAGCTTTGTACACGTACGATGCCATGAACAAAGACGAATTGACACTGAGAAAAGATGATGTGATAACGATAATAACGAAAGAAGTCGGTGATAAGGGATGGTGGAAGGGAGAATTGAGAGGGAAAATCGGTTTGTTTCCCGATAATTTCGTCGAATTGATAACTCCTCTTCCCGAGGAGTCTTTTACCGGGGCGCAGCAAAAAAAACCGGATCGTCCGACGAAAGCGACGTTCGATAAACCGGAATCGAAAATCCCGTTGATAATGGCTCCGGGATTTCAAAAAATTCACCACCAGGAAGGCGGTTTACATTCCGTGAGGGATCAGGATGAGAAAAAAGGGGGATTCAAACAAAGTGACGGATTGTTGTTGAATAAAAAAAACGTGCAGAATTCGGAGAAGAGCAAATCGGACTCCCCTCCCACGGGAAAAAAATATTCTTCCGATAAAAATTTATTTCACCACAAGGGTAGTACGGATTTATCATCGACGTCGTCGTCGTCGTCGTCGTCGAGTCACAAGGGTAAATCATGCGAACTCGCAGCGGCGGGAGTGAGTAAAAAACCTGTTTTACCACCTCCGCCGATAACGAATAAACCCAAACCTAATTCCGGTAAATCGAGCCACGTGAAAAGACTTAGCGAAGAAATCAACGATTTGATTGAAAACAACAACGCGAACAAACAACAACCGCCGCCGTCGTCGTTGTCGTTGTCGTCGACGTCGAACAGCGGATTGATGAAAAGATTAAGCGGAGAAATTCACGATTTGATCGATGGCGGAATCGGGAGTAAAATGGGTTGCCTGGGACATTCTCCAGGAATTGGCGGTTAGTATTCACTCTTTCTTTACTTCCTTTAGCAATGTGTGTGTGTGTGTGTGTGTGCGTGTTGTTTACGCGTATGTTTATTCTTAAATCTGATTATGCAAATGGACGATGACTCCATCGATTTACCTTTGGAACGGAAACGAGATCACGTATGCTTAAAACATATCAAGATCTTTCCGCCGCGTTTTTTTCGACGTTTTCTCTCTCTCTCTCTCTCTCTCTCTCGCTCGCTCGTAAATGTCGACAACACAAAAAAAAGAAAATTTCTAGCAATTAATGGAATGTTATTTATATTTTTAACAGGTGTCAAAGATGAATTTGATTTGGATATAGTCGAAAGGAGCGATATGTTGACTCATATAACATCGTCGAGACCAAGGCCACCGGGAAGGCGTTTACCAACCAAAGAAACGAAAGAAACTGTAATTATTTATTTACTTATTATTAATAATTTTTTTTTTCTTTTCATATTTATATGAATTTATTACAGGTTATAAAAAAAAAAAAAAAACGATAGATAGCATCGATATTTTTTTTAAAAATGTTATCGATTCGATTTTATTGTTTATCGATTCGGATTAGTTATCTATTTGTTTTTTGTTTCCTTGTCGTCGCGATTAAATTAAATTAAAAGAGAAATGAAAAAATGTTTCAGGATGTACATTCTTCGCTGACGAATGGAAATGCCGACACAAGCGAAAAGGAAAAAAGTATTAAAGAGAGAGAATGGGAAAAGAATAAACCTCCGTGGGTTAACGAGCTTAAATTGAATCTTCGCTCGAGTAAAAATTCATCTGGTGACAGTAGTAAATTCGAGAAAAAATCTGGTGAGAAAAGGATGAAATATGAAATGGATTGAATTTTTTTTTTGTTTGCACGTCCATTAAACCTTTTTTGTTTGTTTTGTTTTTGTTTCAGGTCATGTCAAACCGACAACAGCTCAATCTCCGTTGGAACCTCCGACGAGTTCAATGTCGGAATTGACCGCGGCGGGTGGTGGTGGTGGTGGTGGTAACATTGCCATGAGACAATTCAGTCCTCAATCGGGAATCGGTCAGAGATCGACTTTCGAATACGTTTCTAAATTTTTCGAAATGTCTTCGAAAGGATCATCATCCGTGGACAAATCAAAATCCATGACTTCCATGAGTCCTTCCAAACAATCGGACAATATTACTTGGAATTCGACGGATCAGTCGACGATGCACGATGAAACCGTGCAAGTATCGAAAAAGGAATTTACGGATTTAAAATCGAGGGTAAGCAAATGATTGATTGATTGATTGATTGATTGATTGTTCACGTTTCGTGAAATCCATTTAATTTCGAGTCTGATTTATTATCAATAAACATCGTGATAGTCGTCGTCAAGGAAACTTTCCGCTTTACGATATCAATAGTAATCGTAAATTTTCATTATTATTATTATTATTATTATCATTATCATTACTTAATCACTTGTTAAAAATAACGATTTGAATTTTGGGGAGGGGAAACAACCCTAACCTCACCCTTACCCATTTTTTAATTGTGTTTTTTTTTCTTGTTTTTCTTCAGGTGGATAAATTGGAAAAAATGGTTTTAGATTTGACGAATCAATTATCAGAAGAAATGGATCAACGTAGATTAATTGAAAAAGAATTAAACAAATTAACGGATTTGGTGACGCAGGTATGAAAGAGACGCCGACCCCCTGGATAAGAAGGTTAACTACAACGTACGTAAAGGTTGTTGTTTGTTGTTATTGTTGTTATTATTATTATTATTATTATTTTGATGTGACTTGAACGGAAACGACGAAATAATTTTAAGAAAAAAAAGTACTTTGGTCAGGATGTCTGCTGGGAAAGGAGTCGTTTATTATTATTATTATTATTATTATTACTATCGTGGTTTTTTTTTTTAAAGGGAAATCTTTTGGTTTTTTCTCTTCTCTCTTTCTCTTTCTCTCTCTTTTAGTGATTGTGCTCTCTTTCTTTCTCTCTCTTTCTCTCTCTCTTTCTGCTGTTGTTTTTTCCGTTTAACGCATCCGTTCCCATTTACGTTTATGTTGAACATTCCTAATTTTTTTTCGTATTATACTTTTACATTCCAAGAGAGAAAACAAACAAACAAACATGTCGGAAAAAGGTTGTGAGTTTATCGTAGACTTTGTAATGTGCTTGCTCAATTATTTGTAATGCGCAACTTGCTCAGAATAAGTTTATGGGATGTGGAATAAAATTAAATGACAAAAAAAAGAGGGGGGGGGAGGTGTGCGTTTTATCACGTTGTGTGATTATTATTATTATTATTATTAACGCGAAAAGTCTTTCCGCGATTGTTTTTTTTTTTTTTACTAAAGTTTTTTTTGTCACGGGCAACCCTTTTTTTTTTTTTTTTTTTTTTTTTTTTTTTTTTTTTTCTTGTAAGATTTCCGTTTGTTGTTTTGTTTTTTTTATTTGCTCCAAAAATCAATCATGCCAACTTAATTTTATTTATTTATATATATATATAATTTAATCGCGTCATTGCCTGCCATTTTTTATATTAAGATTTATATATAATAATCGTCGTTACGATTACGAATCGATAATATTTTTTTATAATATTATTTATGACTAATTTTTATTATTATCATTATTATTATTATTACGTTTAATGAAATTTTATTAACGCCTTTACAAATCATGAAACTGAGTGAGGAGGGGGGAGGGGGAAGGGGAAGATAGGTAGGAGGAAGGAAGGACAAATGGAAGAAAGGGATATATATATATTTTAGTATTATTATTTTTATAAATTTTTTTTTAGTTGTTGTGTACCACGTATCGTATGTATAATTAGATTAATGGGATCTTTTTTTTTTTTTTTTTTTTTTCTCAATGAAACGAAAAGAGAAGAAACAAACAAAACAAACAAACAAACGGTTTTAAATATGTACTTAAGTTAGTAATTACCGAGGGAAAGGGTTGTCGAAAGGGGGGGGGGCGTGTGTATGTACGCCTACCGTAGATTGTGCAATTATGATGATAATTGCCAAAAGTTTCCTCTCGAAAACTCTTGAAAAGCCTCAAAGAGAAAATTCATTATTATTATTATTATTATTATTATTAGTATTATTATTATTAATGTAAAAATCGTAATTGTGATAATGATAATATTTTCATCGGCAGTTTTTAAATGTGGGAGTGGAGGGGTGGGAGAGTTTATGGGCAATCACAACACGAATGCACTCGAAAATATTATTTTATTTTTTTATTTATATTATTATCATCATCATTATTATTATTATTATTACATAAAATCGAAGACGTGATGTGATTGGTCATTAATTACGTAAATGAATCTGCGTGCTATATTATTATTATTATTATTATTATTATTATTATTTTGATGGGTAATTTTTAATTTGCATTTTTTTTTGTTCTGTTCTGTGCCTTTAAGATGTATTCATTCATTCATTCATTCATTCATTCATTTCTTTTTAGTCTGACTTGTTCTTTATGCCTTTAAAAAAAAAAAAAAAAAAAAAAATGGCGGGATTCCCCTTGTTTTTAACTATTATACTTTTTTTTTTTTTTTTTTTTTTGGTCTTACGTAGGTTGTGCGTAGGTATTAGGTATACGGTGAGGTTGTATTCCTCGATAGGTTTCGTCGGAACAATCAAAAGAATCGTTATCAAAAAATGTTTGTCACCTTATCAATACAGTGCACCGATACCTTGAACCTTAATTATCATTCCCATACTGAAATTCTTATCGATATCTCAATGACAATTTTATTACAAAAAACAAACAAATTTGCTCAAATTTAATTAATTATATTAAAATTGACATTCCGAAATCAATGGTTGCTGAATAGTAGTAGTAATAATAATAATAATAATAATAATAATGTTAATATTATTATTTATATGTGTGTGTGTGTGTGTATAATGTGACATAAAAATATTATTATTATTTTTTTTTTATACGGTTTAAAAAAAAATTATTTGAAATAATCGTCGTTTTATCAATTATTATTTATTATTATTATTATTATTATTATTATTATTATTATTATTATTATTATTATTATTATTATTATTATTAAAGGTAATAAGAGCGTAAGCGAACAATGACTCTAACATGGTTCACGTTTGCCTTTTTATTTTTGTTATCATCATTCCCCTTATCAAGTATTACACGCACGCACCCACCCTTACTTTATTTTATTTCTTTTTTCAACATGCGGAGAATTTTTCTTTTTCTCCTCCCCCTCCCCCTCATCTGCCCCCCCCTCTCGCTGCAGAATTTCGAAATTAAAGAAAAAATATTATTATTATTATTATTATTATTATTATTACTATTATTATTTTAAATTTTCTTTTGAATTCGGTCGGTTTACGAGTTAAAAATACCATTAAACTTTTCGTCTGGAAAATTTTTTTTCCGTCGGCACCTCCCACTCACCCCCATAATCATCGTTATCACCACTCCACTCCCCCATAATCATAATAATAATAATAATCATCATCATCATCATCATCGTCATATTTTTTTACTGTAACAAGATTATACAACTCGTAGTAAATATTCTTAAAGTGGATCGTTAATGACGATAATAATGATAATGATAATGGTGATAATGATAATGATAATAATAATAATAATAATAATAATAATAATAATAAATACTCTTACGAAGTGCCTATTATTATATTTTTTTTAAAAAAAAAAAAAAAAAAAAGAAATAAATTTTCGGCTTTCTTTTATTACAAAAAAAAAAGAAAAAAAAAATTTTAACATTGGATTTCGAACGAAACAATAAATAACAATAATAATAATATTAGAAACTATATAAAAATAATAATAATAAATAAATAAATAAATACATAAGTAAAGTAATAAAAAATAATAATAATAAAAGAGGGGCACAAGCCATATTATTATTAATTAAGTAAGAATAAAAATTAAAAAAAATTTTATTTTATTTTATTACGTAATATTATTGTCAAAATAATAATAATAATAATAATAATAATAATAATAATAATAATAATAATAATAATAATAATAATAGTAAGTTTTTTTTACTATTCAAATATATATAGTGGAGAAGACGTCATAATGAAAATAATAATAATAATAATTATATATATATATATATATATATATATATATATATATATATATATATATATATATATATAAATATATGCAGGGACAATAATAAGTTTTTAAGTAATGAAAGTTTTTCTTTTTCATTTTTTGTCTCTTACCTTTTTTTATTTATTTTAATTATTTTGTTTGTTTGTTTGTTTGTTTGTTAAACAAACAAACAAACTGGGAGTATATTGGACATAATGAATGCAGCAAATCATTAATCACGTGACTTTTTTTTAAATTAAAAATTAATCAATTTCGAATTGAATCAATGTGGAATGGATTTGTAATCCTACTACTACGTCATTCGCAGCAAATCGTTGTAAACGAAAAAAAAAAAAAAAAAAAAGATGGCGTCGAGTTGATAAAATTGGCGCGAAATTTTGAATTTAATTTTTTGAAAAAAAAAAAAAAATTTTTTTTAATCATTTTTAATCATTTTATTTGATTTATTTTTTTTAAATTTATTTTTTTAAATTTTTTTTTTTATTTCATATATTTCACTTTATTTGTGATTGTTTGTTTGTTGTTTGTATGATTGTACGATTGTCATTTAAGTATTATTTTTAATATATATATATATATACATATAAATTATGTAAATTGGTGAATTTATTTTTATTATTATTAAAATTATTATTATCATTTTTATTTTTAATTTTTTTGGGCTTTGTTTGTTTGTTGTCTTTCGTTTGTTTTAACTTATCGGAATTTATCAAAAAGGAAATTTTCATTTATTTATTAAAAACTGGTAGAATTTGTTTAAATATTAATTTGACCGCTCATATACGTTTGTATATTTTAATAAATAATTAACACAAAATTAATTAATTAATTAATTATTAATGTTTTTTTCGATTATTATTATTATTATTATTATTATCGAACTTTCAAATTCATTTTAATAATATTTTTTTTAAAAAATTAAAATAAAAAACCGAATTTGAAATAATTAATTTATTTTTCGTTTTAATATTAATTAATATAAATAATAAAATGTTGACAACCATATTGATTACGTCACGTCTTTAATTATGTATAAAATTTATAATACGTGAAATATCATTATTATTATTATAAATAATTCATATTTAATAATTGAAAATTAACATGGCGGAAAAATAAAAATAATAAAAAGAAAAATTTTTTTTGTATCTTTTGACGTCAACGCAATATAAAGTAAACAAATCCCAACCAAGTGACGGTTTTCGATGTGATGACGTCATTTACAGCGTTGTCAAGTATTTTTGTTGTTTACAATTTCACCACCGCCTTGTCGATTATTGTTTCGTAAAAAAAAAGATTTCTGAACGCGTTTCGTTAGTAGTCAAATGAATAACAACGTTTGACATAGTGAGAGGTGTTGAAATTTTTTTTTTTTTAATATTAATATTGTTTTTGCGGGTAATCAACGTAAAGTTTTATTTTATTTATCAAATTAAACATCACAACGCCATTTTAAAATTATATATTTAATGTTTTCGACATATTTTATATGAAAAAAAGAAAAAAACAAATCATTCACGTTGAGAGATTCTTCATTTGAATTCGAAA